GGACTGCTTGAGGCTGTGTGAGTACTGGGAAGACTGTCCAGACCCCACCTCCTTCCTTGAGATAGGGCCCTGGCTCGGCCTCTGCGTCTGGACCCAAACCCCCAGTCACCATGAGCTGTCCACTTGAGAAGGGCCAAGCCCCACATCTCTTCCGCCATTTGCACACTCCGAGGTAGAAATAGATCTTTGGGGTCAAAGAGGAAGTGGTGGGGGCACCACAGTGGGGTGCCTGAGGTTCCCGGAGGCAGGTGGCCCCTTTCCTCTGGGGAACTGCTCCCAACCACAGGGTCCCAGAGGCCCTGTGCCACACTGCTGTTCTGCTGGAGAATGCCGAGTGGCCCTACAGCACGTTCCCCTCACCCACAGCTCATGCTCAAAATGTCCCAAACTGACCTAGTGTCTCCCCAAGTCTGATTCCCCCCACCCCACCCAAGTTGCTGTCTCAAGGCCAATGCACCTCCCCTCAAATGTTTCTCAAATACATACACACCCCCCACCCCACCGGACTCCCTTTTCAGACCCAGCCCATCCTCTGGGCGCGCCATGCATCCTCCTCCCTGCAGTCAGAGGCATCACTGAGGACCACACAGACCACTGGGTCTCCCTGCTCAACACTCTCCGTGAAGGCCGCGGGCCCGTGTGGCGAGCAGACGCCGTGCGGCTGCTTGAGTGGAACATGAGTCCAGAGAGGGCCGCAAAGATGCTCTCAACCCACAGCTACGTGGAAAGAAGAAAGCGGCTGTTCAGAATGGTCGCTGGGGGTCTCTGGGAAAAGGAGGCAACAACACTGTCCACGTCAGGGTGGGTGGGAGACTGAACGAGACCAAGGACCACAGGCTGCGTGTGGTGCCTGGCACAGGGTGCCGGCGAACAGCGATACCATACTAGCTGCGTGCATGCATGTGTACATGTGCCCGTGTGCACGTGTGTGTGTGTGTGCAGGTGCACAGACATGTGCGCTAGTGTGCTACATGGGTTTAAAGTCCTGTCAGGATTCCAATTCTTCACCACGTTTCATCCAAAAGAGAAAATTACTTTGCTGTGATTTTTTTTTTTTGAGACTTTAAAAGAAGCATTCAAGAGACTCCCCACGGTCATCTCTGGGTGGGTTCACCTGGCTCTGGAGAGTGGGTGCTGACACCCTCACACAGGACCACACGAGCAGAAGGCACCTACCCTCTCTCACCTCCTGGCCTTGGTATATAGGCTGTGCCCCAGCGCACAGGTGTTTATGACCTGCAGAAGAGACTAGAAAAGACTACCATTCCCTCTGAAACACCTGCTCCTTCTTTCCCGACTCTGAAGAACATCGCCTGTACCTCTCCGCGTGGTGGAGGGGAGGGCTGGAGCTTAGGAGTTGAGAGCCAGGCACATAGTCAAGCCTGGGTACACATTCAGGCTCCACTACCTACTGGCTAAATCTTCTTAGGCAAGTCACCTCACCTCTCTGTTTCTTTCTTTTTAAAATGGGGATGGTAATAAACCTAACACCTGAGGATTAGTGAGAGTGCACGTGCCCGACACAGAACACGTCACTGTAAACTGCACAACCGTGTTTGCTGCTGCTATTATCCCTGCAAGGGCTAAGAGGAGCGACAGAGCGCAGGCAGCAGCGAGGCAGCTGGGCCTTGAATGCTGAGCCAAGAGTTGAGTACTTACATGCAGTGGGTACCCAACTGTTCTTACAGCACAATGAAATAGGAACTATAACTGCACC